GCATTTGTCTTAGATAAGACTCCTCCCACTGGTTCTCATGACTCCCATAAGACTCTCATGTGTCTCTTATTTTTCCCTGAACCTCCGAGCTCAGAATTCCCCATTCTTTACTGAGATATAATTGACAGACAACATTAGATTTGTTTCTTTTGTATCCACCTCCGCATTCTTTGTCTCATGAATGATTAGCTAATATTAGAAATGTTAACTTACCCCCAAATAGCTAACCACAGGGATAAACATTTCCTAACCAGCTAAGATGTTCCTGATTACAACTATAAGTCACCCCACCTGAGACTCTTCTATGCTTCCCTATAAACATCTAAAGCAAAACCACATTGTGGAGATCTCAAATCTTAGGATCCAGGGTATGCTCTTTATTCTATAGCTAGAATAAAATTGTCTCCTTAATTTTCAGATCCATAGTCACATAACCTTTATTCAGTACATTGTTATAACTGTTCTATTTTATTATTAGTCATTAACCTCTTACTGTGCCTAATTTATAAGTTAAACTTCATTATGTATATATGTATGTATGCATGCATGCATCTACAGGATATGTACATACAGAGTTTGGTACTATCCTTGGTTTCTTAGGGGTCTTGGAACATGTACCCAGAGAAAAAGGGCTATTAAAATATATATAATGAGATCACAGAGCAAAATGAGATTAATTGTGAGGGGCTTAAATGAATTTCAAGGAAGATGATACTTTAGATAGGCTTTAAAATAATGAGAATTTTGGTTGATGGCTGAGAGGAAATGACATGGATGATCAGACCTTGATCCAAATTGACCTCAGCAGGCTGGAATAAGTGATCAACAGGCAACTCACCAAGTTTATGGAATGAACTTCAGTTTTAGCCACTTGAATCAGAGGTGGTGGTGAAAGACTTAAGTGGAGATAACCTAATGGTGGCTAGAATCACTGCTTGTGCTGTAAAATGATGATAATAAGACTCCTTTTGAAGTTGAGACAATGATTTAATTTTCTTAAAACAATGCATAATTCCATGAGCTGACCGTCGGTCAAAGACTGGAAACTTAAAGAATACTTAGTGACAGCAGTAAGCAAAACAGCAGTAGCAGCAAAGAGGAGGTGGCAGCTGGGATCAGAGTCTCCTAACAGTTGTTTGGAGCAACACTGCACTGTAAAATTTTAAAAGATATACCATTCCCCCCCCAAACAAAACAAAACAAAACAGTGTCGTATGCTCCAATGTCTTTGAGAAAGTCTGGGTTTGGAGATAAATAGATTCCTTACTTCTGGTTTTCACGAGATATTTAACAATAGATCATGTGTTATAAATCTCTAATGGGATAGGTGAAAGAGTGCAGAGTTTTCCAAGCTGGTTTCACTGCAGAACTATTTTAATATAGAATCTTTTTGCAGCCATATACTCTGTATTCTGATATCCACCCAGTGCAGGAAGATGGGGCAGAGTGGAAGGCAATTGGTGAAGGAGGTGGGATAGCTATCCTGTTATCCTGGGAAAAAACACCACCACCATATAATCTACTGGCAGCAGCTCCTTCTTACCTTGTGCCATTTGGGGGAGGAGGGGGTGTCATAGAATCCATTGGAAATTTAGTTGAAGTTGTAGAATCTCTGCTCTGGATACTGGGTATGGGTACTGCTTTCTCTGGAAGCCCCCCTCCCAAAAAAAAAATACATTAAATATTAACAATAATGATCCAATAATTTTCTAATAATACATTTTTACACATATTTCTTCAATATTCCTATTGCAAAAATATTGTGACAAAATAAAAAGTGTGTGAAATAAAAAGTAATATTTCCCTTAGCTTACTGCCTCCTACACACTCCATCCCTTTTCTCAGAGGTCACTTTGAACAATTCTATTTTACCATTTGCACTTATTAAATTTACTTCATCATGGACACTTTTTTTTCACATAAGGGAATATTGACTTAGCTTAATCTTTTTAATAATTCCTGCTGAGAGAATAACTCCTGTTATTTCCATTTTCCTCACCAATTATTAATTCCACTTAAATATTCCATGGACTCCTACCATGAGGGAGGCATCCTGTTTGGCTGGAGAAATAGCAATGAACAAAACAAAGTACTATGTTTTCGTTCTTAGGGAGCAGAACTCCAATGGAGGGGCAACCCAGAGGCAAGTAACAGACTAAGTTAATAACTATAGATTGTGAGTATTGCTTTGCAGGAAAACAAACAATCCTAGGTGAGATAGAATAACCGGGGGAAGGAAGTCGGTTTTGTGCTGAGGCTTGATAGATGAGCTAGCTGTGAGGAGACCTGCAGAAGGAGTTTGCAGTCAATTTCATTAAGAATATTCAATATATACTCACTGGTTGTTTGCTCTTGGCCAGCAATTGTGCTAGAGAGTGAGGGTTCAAAGGGAAACAATTAAAATCTGGTCTTTGTTTTCCTAGAACCTGAATTTTAGGGTAATTAAATAGAATATAAAAGACCTTACTTAACATCATGACTGAAAGGTAATGATTGCTTAATCAATGTGTTATTACTTAAAAATTGTTCCCAAGCTGGCAAGTAAATTTATCTCATTGTTCAAACCCGCTTCTTATTGATGGTGTATTTTTTCCCCACATATTTGCCACTTGAATATATTCTGTCATTTGCTTGTGTGTATCCTCAGTCATCATTTTACTGGTTAACTTGCCTTTTACTGATGGATTTGCAATTCTTCATATGATAAAAGCTAGCAAACCCTTGTTTGATACCTGTGCAAACATTCTCCCCCCACCTCTGGTTTGTTGCTGTTTAACTTCATTACTGGCATCTCTAATCACGTGGACTTCTGAAATTTGTGGTAGTTTAAAAAAAGATTTCAGTGTTTTTCTTTTCAGTGACTTTGGGAAAAACTTGACCTAGATGCATACACATAAAACACATTGCAAGGATGTGTGCTGCAAATATAAACAGTGCTGCAGCAAGGGATATGTGGGTACCATATTGCTGGAGAGGGACATTTGTTACAAACCTAGGTGTACCAGGTAGGCACCTGGTGAGGTGTTTACCTGTAACCAAGTCATTACCAAGTCATTTGCTCCTTGCAGAACCTTTCCAAAGCTGGCAACATTGGAGGAAGAACTGGAATGTCCTGCAAGTGGTAGGTGACATGGTTGCAATGGCCTGATGCAACTGTCATTGCAAGCTCATAATATTTCATTTTACAAATATCAACTTGAAGTCCTTAGCATTTTGGTCTAAAATTGAGTATGAGATAGGTATATACTTAAATAGTGAAAAATGCCTGCAAGTTTTATTTGATCTGGCCACTAAGAAAAAAATGATAATGAGCATTGGCAATGAGTACTCTTCTGTGGTTAATCTCTCTTGGGACATTGTGGCCAGAGGTAAAGTTAAACACAGCTAAGTTTATCTTTAAACAAACTGTGAAAACAGAGTTAGTTTAGTAACTGCTGACAGCAGGGGAAAGCTGAGCTCCATTTCATTTGTGCAGAAGTTATGGGGTATTTTGCCGGGAGAATAAGGAAGAGGAAGATGGGGAAGATTCTCATTAGAGTCAGAGAAGTGAAAAATTACAAAGAGTTGGTCAGTGCCAATGCCATGAGGCCAGATCTTTGACAGCTGGCACCTTTGAAAGTAAGGATTCTATTGCCCAAGACTGGGAGACAGAGGGCCTATCCTTTCGAAGGAATGGCACTCAGGCCCTTGGGCATGATGCTTCTGAGTTGTTACGAGATACATATTCACAATTGTAAGCCATCTGGGAGGTCAGTAGCCTATCCTCAGGTCTTGACTAAGGAGTAATTTTTCCTGGCATCCCAGGGTTCTCAGCCAGGCACTTTAATAGGTGTGTGTGGGGGTAGGTGGCGGGGGAGGGGGGGGTGCTCTGTGTGTTTCTGCGGTCCGGGGACAGACTCAATGCTAATAGCAGAGAAGCAGGTCTCATCAGGTCTATTAGAGCAGAGATTTGCATGCTTGTTAGGTGCTGCGGCTTGGGCAGGTCGCACCAGTTCTTGGGACCACGATTTGTAAGCAACGTTAAATACAGGGGATGGGAACTAGGGTGGTCGAGTCTGAACACCCTGTAATGAAACAGAACCTTGTGCAAATTGCATTTAGCTGAAAAAAGGTAAAGAGAGCCAGGGAGAAGCATTAATTGTTCAAATACACTTAAGACGGTTCTGAGGGCCAGGGATCGCTCCAACAGGTGAGGGTCCTGGGGGCAGTGGTGGGGCATCAGGAGGGGATTTTGGCCCAAAGTGAGAAAGAGAAGAACGGTTCTGGTGGGTAGGCTTGCTCCGTCGTGTAAAAAAAAAAAAAAAAAAAAAAAAAAAAAAAAAAAAAAGCTGCTTGGCAACAGAATGCCTCTTCACGAGCTGCAAGTGGGTGGCTTGAAGTTTCTTCCAAAGGAAACTATGATGACAGAGGACCGCGCTGGCCAAAGCAGGCTGCGGGCAGCGGAGCGCAGGCACCTCCAGGCACGCGCGGCCCCGGTCGGGAGCGCGCCTCGCCGGCGCCGCGGCTCCCGGAAGGGGGCGTGGCTTCCTCGCGCGTCCGTTACTTAAACCCGCGGCGCCGCCCGAGGCGCCTCAGCCGATCGCCGAGCGGTCGATGCCCTCGCGCCGCCGCCCGCGCCCCGTCGCCGCTGGCTCCACCCGCCATTGAGTAAGTGCGACTGCCGCCCGGCGCGTCGCCGGCGTCCTCCGCGCGCGGGCCCGGGGCTGGGGTGGCGAGCGCGGGGAGGGGGCGGCCGCCCCTCGCTCCTCCAGGCCCCGGATGGCGGCGGCGGTTGCGCGGCTGGAGGGGGCGGCCCCGTGGAGGCGGCGTGCCCGCGGGTGCGCTCCGGGCGCCTCGGAGACCCGCGGGTCCCAGCCTCCCGAGGGAACACGCCAGGTTCGCGGGGATAAAGCGACCAAAAGTCCCAGCGATCTCGCGTGCCGTTTAATGCAGACAGACGGTCTAACGTGGCGTTTTAATGTGTGTGTGTGTTTTTTTAATGCAGAGCCCCGCCATCCGCTATGGAGCATGCCTTTACCCCGCTGGAGCCCCTGCTTCCCAATGGTACTGTATGTTTCCCCACGTTCCCCGGCGTCAGGGACGGGCTCTGCCCGGAGCCCTGAGCGGTGAAAGGGAGGGACGCGGGCTGGCCCCGGCGCGGTTTCCCGTCCGCCCGTCCGCCCGCCTCTCATGTCCCAGCGCCGCTCAGCCTCCCGCGCCCCAGTTTCCCGGTTCCTGCCAAGCGGAGTTGGTGGGGGCTTAAAGGACTTGGTACCTGGTCTGCTTTTCCCCTGGAGAAGCGGACGGGCAGCCTGTTAGCTGATGGGCCTCTAACACCTGCGGCTAATCCCGCCACCGCAGAGCCTCAGGCATCAAAGGTGTCAGATCTCTCATGGTCCCTGTCCGTTCTGCCAAGTGCCCGAGATTATTGCCCAGGAAAAGATTGCTTAGTGGCTGTGGAACATGTTGCAAAGATAAAACACACTCACGCCAGGATTTTTGTTAATACTTTGAAGTTTCAGATTATGTGATTCACGTGAAATGGATGGAAGGAATGCATTGAAGCTGGTTGTAATTGACTTGTGTAATCTCGGTGTAATTGAAGCTGGTTGTAACTGACTGGAGTGGTGATGTTGCAATATTAAACATATTTTTATCTGCCAGTTATTGTTTGTGCTGTATAGAGCTTTTCTCTATACCAGTTTCATAATTCAAACGGAGTGCATCATTTTTGTAACGTTTAAAGCTGTTGTTTTAAGAAAACACATGAACTCCTGGGTTTTGTTTCTCATGGCACATATAAACTAATTAATAAAATTCTGCGGAACACCAAAAATATATTTTTGCCGATCTGACCAAAAAAAAAGTATAATTTTGATGCATTCACACTATGTGACTATTGTTGTGTTGGCTGTTGTCATTTTTTTACTTAACAATATAGTCAAGTATTGCATGTTTTAAAAATTCTTGTGGCACATCAGTTGAAAATCTCTGGTTTAAGGTATTGAATTGGATTGAACTTGGCATTTTTTCCATATCCTGGGAGATGTGATACTATAAAAAAAAAAAGGATAATAGTAACAACAGGGGACACTGAGTCCTCACTCTCCACTCATTCCCTGTGCTGAGTTGCTTTACATCTTACAGGTGAAGGTACCAGGGACAGAACTAGAATCTGAATGCAGATAAGTTTGATTTGATGTCGTTAAGAGGTTGGAGTTTTGACATTAAACAGCTTTTCAGAAGTTAAGCATTAGCAAACAAACATTTTGCAAATTACATTTCAGAGGTCTCAGTTGCCCAGAGTCGGCCAGATGGACAGCATTTCAAGAGTAAACATTGGACCCAGGTGTCCTATTGGTTTTCAGATTTGTTCCTCAAACCTAAGTACTTTGCAGACTGAAGTTTTCTTGTGTTTTCTAGGTTGAAAGAAGTGTGTAATAGAGAGATGCGTGCTGCATAGTAAAGTTGGGATCGAGGAATCAGTCTCTGAGTTTTAAATCCCAGCTTTGCCACTTTATAGTTATCCATCTCGCTACAATTGTCCTTTGTATCCCAGATAGATTGATTCCAGAATCCCCTGACCCCCAGATAACAAAATCAAGTCCCCTATATGAAATAGTATCGTATTTATCCTCTTATACTTGGAAGTCAATTCTAGATTACTTAAATACCCAGTGCAATGAAAATAGTTGCTAAAGTGTATTTTTTAGAGAATGACAAAAAAGGAAAAGACTACGTAGTCAGTTCCAACACAACAACCTAACTCCCCCCCCCCAAAAAAAAAAAAAAATTGTTCTCTTCAGAATAACAAATTTGACCTGCCAGTTGGTTGAATCTCTGAATGTGGATACTGGAATCAACTGTATTTCAGTTTATTCTTCTGTAAAATAAGAAAAGTTGGCAGGATTATTAATGAGTTGTAATGCAGGTAAATCACTTAGCATGAATAGTGAAGAGTTGTTATAATCAGCTGGAAGACTAACCAGAAAAGAAAGGAGCAGTTGGATCTCAGGATCAGTGCTGAGATGGAAAAGATGTGGAGCAGTTACCTGTAGAAAGGACAGGCAGTTGGCTCCTATCTGTTCATCAGAGGCTTGTTGGAGAAGGCCTGATTCCAAAGTCATTACGAACAGCACTGGAGGGGGACAACTGATATCCTGTGCAAAGTACAGATCCCCTGAGACAGATCCAGCATCCCTTTGGGGGTTCTATGTGATTTAGTGGTTCTCATCCCTCCTTTTTGTCCTTCTTAAGGGTAAACATATGTACATAGTAAGTAATTAAGCAAATGCTAGAGGTTAACTTTACATTAGTGGGATTCTCTTCATCAAACAGACTTTTAATATTTATCTAGCAGAGAAGTAGGTAGTTTTTCTGTAAATACTTCTGTGAACTATTTTGTAGGTATGATTTACCTGGGATGTTTTCTTAGATTTAGTAACCTGAGCACTCCCAACAATTAAAATCAAGCTTGTTCTCTTCAGAATAACAAATTGCTGGGAGGACCAAAATGCTTCTCTGTTCGGAATAATCACTAGCTGAGAGAGATTTAAAATAAATATATTTTTTGTTTTTATAACTAAAGTAAGTGCTTATTATTTAAAGAAAAACAACCCAGGATGTGAAGTCTCTTGTAATTTTGTAATTCCTCTTGTAGGAATAACCATTACTAACAGTTGGCGTATGTTCTAGATATTGTGTTGACACTTACACTCCAGCATATTATTACTCTTGTTTTAAAGAAATTGGATTCATATTATTGCTTTGTAAATAAAAATGGGGGAGGGTGGTGGTGGCAGTGAGTGAAAATAATTAAATATTTGTATTACAACATATGTACTCTTTATTTTTTTTTCAAACAAAATAGAAATGTTCCCAAACTTAAAAGTCTACCAGAAACTATCATTCCAAATCGCAGTTACCAGAGATTATCACTCTAAAATGTAGATAAGGACAAGGACAGCCTGACATGCTCTTCTGCTCCCCTAGGTCTCTCACCATTTAAATCCAGTGCTATTTTGGAAGCCCAGTTGGTGTCTGTCATTCCCATGATTTCTTTGCCTACTCCAGCCTGTCCTCATCTCTTCCCCACAGTCTCCATGGTTCCTATATGGGTTCTATAACACATTATTCAACATCCAACTAGTAACCATCTTGCTTTGTTCTTGACTTTCCAATGAGACTGTAAACTCTTAAACAGAAGCAAGTCCATCTTTCACTTTGCTTACCCACACACCTAGTATCAAAGGACAGACACTAACTGGTTGTGAGTTGCTCTTGATAACAGAAATGCAAACATTCCCTTTGATCCAACTATTTCATTTCTGAAATGTATCCTCATAAACTCACATAAATATGCAGAAATATTGTGATCAAAGATATGCACTATAGATTACAATAATAGAACTAGAAATAACCTAAATGTCTATTATGAAAGACTAGTTCATTTGAGACTGTACTGCCTGTACAACAAAACCAAACAAGAACTTGGGATATCAATACATATAGAACCCATAAAAAGGAGTAAGTGAAAGAAGTTGCAGAAAGGGGCATAAAACAGGTCCTACCTGGGAGGCCTAGGCCCCAGGGGAAGCAGAGAGCATGTCAGGTGATGGGCTGTCCTTGTGTGAACCCAGGGCTGCATGTGACCTTGAATGAGTTCACCTGGTGGTGAGTGAAGACAAAGAAAGGCTGACTAGGCTGGAAAGTGCAGCTGGGATTCGGAGGTATGTAATTGAACAGGGAAGGCAAAACAGATTGTGAGAATAGAGAAATTTTTTTCAGGGTAGTAAGTTTTTTTTAGTTTTTAGTCGAATCTCCTTGGAACATTCATACAAAGCAACCTTTTATATACCCTAGAACTCAGTTAAATATCCTGGTTGCTTTGCTAATCATTTATAGGTTAAAGTCCTTGTCTTGGCCTCAAAGGTACTCCAGATCTGATTCCTAACTACTTTTCCAGAATACTTCCATCATTGACTTCTCTGCCCAAGCCAAGCTGAACTACTATCATTTGTTCAGGCTTCTATACTCTAGTCTTAACTTGTGCTAAATTTATTGCCTGGAATATTTTTACCAATCCTTAGAATTGTTACCTTAAATTTTAGCCATTCTGGTGGGGGTGTAGATGTATCTCTGTGGCTTTGTTTTGCATTTCCCTTAATGCAGAATGTTGATCTTGCCACATGTCTATGGGTATGTCTAATATCTTTTGTGTATTGTTTATATCTCTGGTTATTTTCTATTGCGTTGTCTTTTTAAAAAATTAATTTGTAGAAGTTTCTTTTAAATTGAGATACAATTGACATATAATATTGTATTAGTTTTAAGTATACAACATTATGGTTTGATAAATGTATACAGTGTCCCAAAAGTGTGTATACACTTTGAATAATTACTAATTCCAATGAGTTATCAACTGTAAAGAGTATACATTTTGAGGGGACAGCCTATATATTACAAGATGATTACCAAGTAGGAGTTTTCTTTATATATTCTGAATACAGTTCTTCATATCTTGATTTTCTCATCAGTTAAGTAGGAAGGAAACACTCTAGGGAGATTGTTGTGAAGATTAAAAATATCTATAAAGCATTAACACATAAGGATGTAAACATTTTAGTTATTCTCATTGCTATTTTTTAATCTAAAAGTTTGTGTGTGTGTGTGTGTGTGTTGTTTTTTTTTTTAATTAAGGAAGAATAATATTTAACTGGTAAAGGCATACAATTGCTGTACTAAACTTTGTAAACATAGGTGCCTTTTCAAAATATTCTTATAAACCCTGGCCTTTTTTGCTTTGTTCTTCAGTGAATGATCATTTCATTTTTTATCATGAAGCTTTGTATTCAGAATTCCATGTGTTTGAAAGTAGATTTATTTTACACCCTCTCTAGCTAAAATAAAAGTGGAATCAAACCATCCTTAGAATTATTTCACGTGTGCTTATTTCACAGTCTTAAGTCAGAGAGTAGTCATGGAGATTTGAATTTCTGGTTTAATCAAAATATAGATGTTATTTTTTATAATATAGTACATATACAAGGTGGGGCAAAGTAGGT